TACAAGATACAGAGTGTCCCAAATTGAAAAAATATCAAAGTTGTATTTTTTTTAAATGAAACACCCTGTATATTATTACATTTTAGTTTCTACAATTAAAATATTTACGGAAGTCTATTTATTGACGTTGTGTTGCAATAACAAAATAATACTATTCATACAGAGTGTCCAAAAATCTATTTAAAATTATTTCTAAGCTTTATTCTCCAAGGGTATCAAAGTTTTTAATACTAAATATTTACGGAAGTCTATTTATTGATCAGTTATTGTGTTGCAATAACAAAATAATACTACCTCATACAGAGTGTCCAAAAATTTATTTAAAATTATTTCTAGCTTTAAACGGCAATAACTTGTTTAATTTAAATGGAACGCCCTGTACATTTTAGGAGAATCAGATGCACAATTTAATTGTCTATCAAATTATATACCACTTTTACCTATTCCTTCAAGTTTTCGTAGAAAATGTATTTTCTTATAATTTAGACCTCATTTATCAATATACCCATGGAATATTGACATTTTAGATTGTTTTAAAGCAACAAATAATAAATAATATTATCGTTTTTAGCAAAATGATAATATTACTAGCCTATTTGTAAGCAAAAAGAAAACTATTTAAATCTTTATAAAAGAGTATACCATTAATTAAATATACCACCATTATTTCCGCCCAAATTCTAATTAATTACATACTTAATTATGCTCGTTAATAAATTATTCTAAATAAATGTTGATTTGAATTACAAATCAACATAATAAGTTATAAAAATGAATATCTCTGTTGTTCTAAATAAGCATTTGTCAAAAATGAAATATCATTTTTAATGTGTTACTTTTTACCACACTGTATAATACACATACAAAATTCAGTTTTTAGTATTTGGAGCAATTATTATTAATCAACGCAAACAGTCAATTAATGTAGTTTGAGTACTGGAATCATATTAATTGGTCCTCTTTAACAAATATTTAAACAATTTTTTTTATTTCTTGTTGAAATAAATTTCTTTATGAAATAAACAAGCTATATCGACAATATTAGTATCTGTACTCTTTAAAAATTTGGTACATCTTTAAAAATAATCTAAAATGTCAGTATTCGATGGGTATATTGATAAATGAATTTTAAATTATAAGAAAATGCATTTTCTACGGAAACTTGAAGAGATAGGTAAAAAATGGTGTAATACAATTTAATAGACAATTAAATTATGCATCTGACTCTCATAAAATATACAGGGTGTTCCATTTAAATTAAACAAGTTATTGCCGTTTAAAGCTAGTCATTATTTAAAATAAAATTTTAGACACTCTGTATAAGATAGTATAATTTTTATTATTGCAACACAATAACTGATCAATAAATAAACTTCAGTAAATATTTAGTATTAAACATTTTCATACCCTTGGAGAAATGAAACCTTAAAATTTTGACTATAATTTCACAAAATTGAAAATATTTCAAAAATAGTAAGATTAAAGTGCGGTAAACCTTAATCAAATTTACCTTTATTTTAATCGTAGAAACTAAAAATGTAATAATATACAGGGTGTTCCATTTAAAAAAATACAATTTTGATATTTTTTATTTATTTGGGACACTCTGTATCTTGTAAAAATATTTTTAAATTGTAGCTCTAATAGTCCTTCAACGAACCCAAAACTTACAATTTGTAAAAATCTAATCATTTAGCTACAACACTCCGTGTCGTATGTCGTGAACAACCCTGTATAACATACTCTACACTTATTTTCAAATACAAGGTAAAAAAATTCATTATTTAACTTTTTAACATAGGCGGCCGGTTTAAATTAGATAATCAAAACAAACTAATTTATTTGACGTCCATATTTTGGTTATTTGAATTTAATATTTTGGCCATTCCACGCTAGTAACCAAAATATGAAATTCTCTGTATAAAATTATGTGTCGAGTTATTGCACAAGTGCATCAACATGATTGAAAGCACAGCTGCAACAAGTTAAAAAATCATGAGTCATGTTATCAAAAAGACTTAAATGTAAGTCTTAAGTCGTTCCTAAAATCACATGATTTTAATCTTAAGTCAATTTTAGCATAAAGTTTAAATGATTTAAATTTGGCCGGGCCTCCATGCTGCCACCACCTCCACACAAGGCCATTCAACCTTTTCCAATATGGCGGAGATAGAAGTGCTTTATTTGGCGCGTATTTGAAAATCTGTTTTATTTCCAAATAGACATTTTTCACACAAATGTCGGGTTAGATTACGTAATATTTCACTAATTTTTTAATATACAGGGAGTCTAAAGTTCTCCACATAAGTATGGAATTTTTTGTATTATTACTCTTATGAAAACATCAGTTAGGTACTTTTTATAAAAAGGTCTCCTTTCTCAGAAAATAGGTAGTGTTAAAATATTCAAACTTGAGGTAGCATATATAGGGGGTGTTCAAAATCATCGGAAAAAGAAATAACCAGAAATAATTATAATAACCTAAATATTCAATTGCAAACACTTACCTACCATAGTTTAGAATTTACGGAACGTTTGATAAATATATACTATTATGGACAGTATAGGAAGTTACTTGTCTTAGTAAAAGCCTTGGTAAATGCTCTTGGAATTATAAACTACACTGGCTTGGGTCAAAAAATATGGAATATTTTTTCTGTTTTGCAGCATTACACAAATGGGAATAAATTTAAACTATAATAGGTGAGGATAAATAAAAAAATATAATATGTGTTTCAAAATTTTATATAGAAAAAACAACTAAATGCCTTTTTGGGGGTTCGTAAGTAAAACTTACGCTTAGCTTAGTTTTCTTTATTCTTTCTCTTTACATGGGGCCGTCTTTGTGGTAATGACGTCTTTGTGGTAAAGACGTTATTCCTTTTTTTTGCATAGTTCTTCAATAAAATATTGGATATTCTAAACAAGATGAATTTAATAATAAATTCTGACGTATGTGGGGGGCAATTGTGATCTAAAAAAAGACTTACATCCAGGCCATTTATATTTTCAAATGTCAATGTTGTCAATATCTTTCTGTGATATTTTTGATGTAAAAAGCTTGATTCTTCTTCCAATACTTTACTTATAGTGAGGTAAGTGTAAGCAGTAGCCATAACTAAATCATCACTAGGGTAACAGAGGCTTTGGCCTTTGGCCTTTTTGAGGCATATTTAATGCACTTCTTACCCGAGAACTACTAGTAGGAGTGAAATTATCTCTTTTAATAGCTGTCAACCATTTTTTACGAAGCTCGACATTTTTGGGGAATATAAAAGCAGAAACCCCTCTATAATTCCCGTGACAATTTGGAACGGAGCATGTAAAAGGCATGCTACAATAAAATGTTAATACCTACCCTTTAATACCTATCTTTTGATTATTGTAATTAACCATTATAAAGTACGATGCAGACTGGCGGCGAAGGCTTTTTACTCATTTAGGTGTAATATCTTGATAAATACTTCTAGTTCTTACCTTAAAATAATTAATAATAGACGAGTACGACAAGCACAAAAGTTTGAAGTTCCCTATGTGGAATGTCTGGTTTGGATTTTTATTACACTGTTATCACAATTTTCTGATCACACCATGCCCTGAACACTAAGAACTAAACAAACGTGTTGCAGAAGCACAACAAACTAGAAATAATTAATTATTTCTGGTATGCAATCGGAACGAGAAACCACTACCGGCTTTTCAGGTTAAAGGTAAACGATTTAATAATGCGCTGCCTTCGCCGCCATATTTGCCTTGCCCATATCATGTTGATTGGACTTGAGTTGAGGTGGTGCTGGTCAAATCAAATCGCAATGTTGCCAGTTATTGGCTGGCGCACGAGCACGGTTCTGCAATGTGATTGGGCGTATTTTTCATACGTCATTGGCACTTAAAAATTATTTCAAATTAAAGCAATTTTGAGGGCCTATAAAAAATTGCTCAATGTCATGGAACTATTTCTTTTTTGGATAAATATACTGAAAATAGTCTTCTATTTCAGATTTTGGCCTTGAATTGGATATTTTATTTTTTGTGAAACAGTCCATTGTAGCTCTAATAGTCCTTCAACGACCCCAAAACTTACAATTTGTAAAAATCTAATCGTTTAGCTAGAATACTCCGTGTCGTATGTGGTGAACAACCCTGTATTTTTAGAAAACACATACAAGGCAAATAAAGTAAAAATATAATATACAGGGTATCCCATTTAAAAAAAAACATAAGTTTGGGTCACATTTTAAGAATGACATCAATAGGTCAAATAAAAGTAGGTCAAAACAAGCGGAGAATACGTTTTTAAGAGATGAAAGTAGGTAAAGACAAATGAAAGTACGTCAAGACAAAGCCGAGATGAGACAAAGTTAAGCGAGGAAACACGACCTTGATCTACTTCGAACTGTTTTCCGCATAGTGTAGAGGGTGTATAAAATTATAGTAACATGGACACACCAAGTATCCAGGGGCGGATACAGGAATTTATTTTAGGGGGGGGCAAATAAAAAGTCATGTAGAATATGCTATTTTGGGCGCCATTTTTAACCCAAAAGCTTAATATTTAACCCATTTTAGAGATTTTAGGGGGGGGGCGGGCCCCATGGCCCCCCCTCTGTATCCGCCACTGCAAGTATCTATTCGTGCGAACCTTTTTTTTAAATGTAGAAAATTTTGTTATTTTGGTTCATCCTATACATATGTACAATCATATACTTTTTATATGCAAATGCTGAACATAAAAGTTTTAAGGATGTAAAAATCCTCCATACCTAATACCTATATCTTAAAAGCAAATACCCCTTTTCGCATCACTTATTAATTTGCACACTGTATATTACTTATAAGAAATATACAAAAATATTCAGCAATAAATAAGTTGATATGTAATATGATAAATAAGTTATAAATAAATATATAAGTTGATAAAAAATAAATAAGTTGATATGTTTATTATGTTATTCTTCTATATTTCATTATTTATTATCGTTATTGTTCAATTTTTTTAGGTTCCAGAACAAAATTCAGGTGACAGTAGAGAAAGAGTTAGAAGATTTGCATTTGACTATTGTTTTCCAGAAGACACCACTCAAGACCAGGTAAGCGTAGATAAAATACATAAACCAAAACACACCGACCACAAACAAAGACCACTATGTAGCCGTTTTTTTCGATCATTCGACCACGCCATTTAATTTTTTTAAACTGTTATATTCAAATTTTTCTTAACAGATAATAATCATGTCACAATAAACAAACTCAAAAACAAAACCACATAGATTCCATCTATACTCTCTGCCTGTCCCGAGATTTGCGTCTAGGGAGAACTAGGGAGTTCACCTATCGAAAAAAGATGAATTAGAATAAGTATACAAGTTAACTAAAAAACATGACATTAATGTAATTTTGGGCGACATGGACGCAAAAGTTGGAGAAGGAGCAATAAATAACATTGTTGGAAAATACGGGCTAGAAGTGAGAAACGAGCGTGGAGAAAGATTGATAGAATTTTGTCAAGACCGCAACATGACAGTTACATATATACTATTTAAGTTGCCTAAAAGATTATATATCTGAAGATCCCCTCAAGACAATGGCAGCAGAATAGTCCGGAACCAAATATATATTTCATTTTAATAAACCAGCGATTTAAATAATCAGCGCAAAGGCGTTTCCAGGCGCCGCGGATATCAACTCAGATTATAATCCTGTTGTTGCAAATATAAGACCAGAACTGAAACTCATTAGAAAAAAACATTCATTTAAAAAAATGCAAGTTGTTGAAAATAAAGAGGTAAAGAACAGAGTAACCCAAGAACTTGATGATGATTTTAAAGAAATGAGAAACAGCGAAGCAGCAGAATAAACTACCTGGAACGCATTGAAAACACTCTTAGTTAAAGCCACACAAAAACATTTAACTGGTCCAAAAACAAAGAAGAAACAATGTATGACGGACAAATTCTCCAACTAATGAACAGGCGCAGAGAACACAAAAGTGGAGATGCTATAGCATATCAACTTTGCAGTAAGGAAATTAATAAAGCACTAATATCAGCTAAAGAACAGTGAATTACGGAGAAGTGCATGGAATTAGAGGAGTTACAGAAGAAACACGACCCATTTACATTACACAAAAGAATAAAAGAATTAACAGGATCAGCACAACCTTTTTGCCCTGCGTTCAATCACACAAGAATAAATACAAGTATGGGAACAACACAAGAAAGAACTTTTTAATGACTATAGAAAAGAACCAACAGTAATACCAACGGTTGATCAAAGACCAGAAATTCTCAATAGTGAAGTATTGAAGTATTGCAGGACTTTTAAGTAAGCAACTTAAAAACAACAAAAACCCAGGCCCTGATAATATATTATTACAGAAATACTTCCAGAACAACACAAGAAAGAACTTTTTAATGACTATAGAAAAGAACCAACAGTAATACCAACGGTTGATCAAAGACCAGAAATTCTCAATAGTGAAGTATTGAAGTATTGCAGGACTTTTAAGTAAGCAACTTAAAAACAACAAAAACCCAGGCCCTGATAATATATTATTCCAGAAATACTTAAATTGATATCAGAAGAGAACGTAGATATACTGACTAGGCTTTTTAACAAGATCTATGATAGGGGAAAAACCTGATGACTGGCTCCACTCAACTTTCAAACATCTTGTAAAATCTTGTGTCAATATCAGTCTGGAATTTTCCGTTGAAAGACCTATATGTAATAAAAACGCGAATATTTGCAAACCAGTTATACATTTTAAAATACTTTTTATTTATTATTATTTTATTTCTGTCAAATGTTTGAATCATTTCTCTATACCTACTACACGAAAAAAAAATCACATTTTTTTAGGTTTTTGAAACTATTGAATCTGTTATTGGCAAATCACTAAGAAGTCGACACCACTCTTGCGTACTGGCTTATGGTCAAACGTCATCTGGCAAAACACATACCATGATGGGACTTCCCCAAGACCCCGGCCTAACACCGAGACTATGCAGGAAGATATTCAAATATTTCGAAGATGGAGCTTTGAACAATGCGGCGGACAAATTGAAAGTTACAGTTAGGTAATTACACTAATCATATCGAGTTTTTAGGTATATATAATTGATATTTGGGTATGTCATGTACAGGATGGGCCAAATTGGACACTTTTAAATGGCGACACCCTTTTCTATAGGGGATAGATGAAAACTCATATCGGTGTCTCCAGCTTAATTGTTATCAGAAACATGATGGTAAAAACCGCACATCGATATCTGTTACCGTTTCGGAGTTACGGGGTGTTTTTTAAAAATATGCATTTTTAACAAATCGCTGTAACTTTTCTTACGGAAAATTTTGTATTTATATGAAAACATTTCCAAAGCACCCATTATAAAACAATAAACGTTTCATTTCTGACTAATATCTCTCATGACGGATGATAATATGATGATAATCCAGAATCACTCTCAAATTATGAAGTATAATTGGTTGCAAAAGTTAAAAGTTTGTTAACTTTTTCTACTAACTGAAAATTACTACCACTAATTTTGACGTTCTGAATGCTTACATTGAAATTAGAAGAACAAACGTCTACGCTAATTGAAACCACTAATTTCGAGGTTCTGAATGAAGCTTAAAAGGAAGCAATGCCGATTCAATATACCTATATTGAAAAATACAATTTTTTATTGTTTCTCTCTTTAAAGTTTCATTTGCATTAAACTACTTGAAAAAAATATTTATTTAAATTTTGATATAGAAAGTGCCTCTAGTAAAAATCTTCTAAAAATGTCTTGGTCTTGAACATAGTCTTACTCAAGACCAAGACTGGATCCTGCAAAACCAAGACCAAGAAAATCTTGGTCTTGTATTTGCTCATCACTATTGACAAATATTTCCAGGAACGGTAATAATACTTATTCGGTAATAATAAATATTTCAGTCAAAATATACAAACAGAAGGTAACAGAATACAGCCTAGTAAATCAAATTTGCCTAACCGACAATAGATGCTTGATGTTTCAGGAGATACATTGTTAGTCCCGTTGTTACTCCCGTTGTTAGAAGCAAGAAATAAAAAAAAGCAATAATACAAGAATAAAAAAAATGTGCATGCATTATGTGTGCATATTTGAAATAATAATAATTGTGAACCTTCTTACTAACAGCTATTAAATGAAGGAATTGAAGAACATGTTTGAAAAAGTGTAGTTTGAAATGTTGAAAAAGTAATAAATTAAAAATTAAAAAATGATTTGTTTCACTTTGACAAAATTTGTATTAAAATGTCGGGCCGTCTGTCAGTCTGCGGGGACTCCATTCGGGTACCTACCACTACCTCGTGCCAAGTCTAGTTCCAATCGACATTATTAGATTAATTTAGAAAAATCCTGATCATTACATCCATTTAGAGGCATCGGTTCAAAAGGTCGGGAGTGTCATCAGCGGAATTTTCTTCAATTTGAAATCCATAGCCCCACCCTGATGACGATGTAAACGAAACGTTATATCCAACTTTGAAGGGTGGGACCGTGTGCACCGTCGCTCATATAGCCTACCTACAAACCTAACAATACAAATTTGGTAGCGATCGGACGACATCAGATTTTACGTCAAAACTAACGTCTGATTTTAAAACATCTAATTTTAAATTTTACTTCTAAAACTAACGTTTCTTACGTCAAAACTAACTGTCACAAGTGACTTCTGTCGTACACGGTCAAGTTGGCCTTGGTCCAATCTATTTGTTCATAGGGGTTTCATAGTGCTATCTCAACTGTCCCAACTAGCATTTATAGTGGCAGATACGTAACTGCTACTATCAAAGCCACTACAAAGTGGGCGGTGACCATCGGCGGCTACGTCGTATATTCGTAGCTGATAAGTAACTGCGACCAAAATGGGGAAAGATTTTGAGTAGCCGGGTAGTGTCTTGGGTAGTTTTTGCCACTAAAAGAGTGATTAGTACTATGATGTGTTACTATAAAGTAGCCTACTGGTGAATGCGATTTATCTGTTACGAAGCTGCCTAGTCGCGAGTTCGTGGCAGTCAAGTGTTATCCATGTGGAACTTTCGTTAAACTCTTAAACTTTATTCGCAGCGACCTCTTCATGCAATTTCACATTTCATAAAAATAAATGTCATGAAGGAAAATAATTATGGAAGCCATTATTATTTTTTCGTTATTTACCGTGCGATTTTAACGCCTTTTTTAAGTAAATTCCAGAACGCAATCGACTTTACAGAATAAAATAGTGAGTGTATATGACAAAATTTTCGAGCGCCTCTCAAAATATTTCAAATTATTATATTATTTGCAATAGAAACTCATGTAGTAATTATAAAATAATAATAATTTGCTTGAAACTGCTTGTACTTGTGGCGACTATACATGTACATTCCATTGGTGCCACTATAACGTTCCGCCTTGTCCTTTGAAGTTTCCATTTGGCAACGCGAAGACACGAAATAGGAACGAAAAAATCAACAGAAACAGCTTCAAAAATGTCACAGTCACTACCTGATTTATGATGTTCATCAGTAGGATTATAGAATGATGTAGTTTTTGTTTCTGATGTTGATGCTTCGGCTCGCAGCGATTCCTTTTGCTTAATTCTTCGGTAGAAAGTACTAGAATATCTAAATTTCTTTTTATTCACCTTAGGCATTTTACAAAATTTTAATAAGGCTTAAAAGCAAGTAAAAGAAAACACTAAAACAGAGCAGCACACGATGCAATCTGAGGCAATTACATTTATTAGGGTATTAATATACCCTACTTTATAGTAACCATAACTTAATAGTTATGGTCACTATAAAGTATCCGTTTTTGATCCCGTGACTTTTTAGTGGCAATGGATGAGCGACGGCTACTTTATAGTGACCTAGGAAGGTAGCAGTAACCATTTTGCTACTTTCAATGCTACTATAAATTAGAAGTAACTAGGTGTCGTGTGGCCGAGACTACCCCGTAACTTAAATAGTTACTATAAAGTAACAAAACTTAATGAAAGCATTATGGTAGCACTTGTTAGTAACCCCTACTTTGAAAAGTTATTGTAAAGTTTTTGGACTTTTATGGTGTCATATTCGAAGATTCGGGTAGTTCCAGCCACTTCTTTAAATTACATGTTTGCGACTTGCAATCGGAGTGTTTATTTTCCACTTTTATGGTAGGTACCTATGCACTAACCTAACGGTCACTCGCGAAATATACTTCAAAGTGACTATTCCTTATAGAGTAACATTTTAAGTGGTAGAGTGGGCCTAAGATAGGGGCAGTGACATTTTAAAAAGGACTGGAAACCATATTTGCTAGTTGAAATGAAACCCCATGACCAATGGCGAAAAAATCGTCCGATTTAAAAGAAATTTGGTATGTCGAGAGATTGGACCAAGGCCAACTTGACCGTGTACGCCACGAGTCATTGTGACAGTTAGTTCGTGCACACGAAAGGTCGTCAAAATATCATGAAAAGAAGAAACAATCGTAAAAAAGTTTCACTTCAAAAAAAAAATGTAAAATGTAAAAAAAACTATTTCGATGACTTTCTGTTAAAACCAATGGCGTTCTGTTAAAATGACATTACATGAAATTAAACTCCAAATTCGCAATTATTACCTGCTCATATTTACCTAACCAAGGGTAAATTTTTTGTATAAGATTTCCGTTAGTTTTGTAATTTTTACTAAGATTGATGTTATATAGTGTTCTCGGCAAAAACCGATAGCCATACATTACTAAATCTAGAAATGCCTCAGCAGTATATTTATTTATATTGGATTGCAGATATCGGTTCTTTCATATAATAATATAATGTTTTTCCATTAAAAATATACTCAGAATACAAACATACATAAAAATACATAACATAAAAATCGTTACAAATGCCACTATGGCTCCGTTTGTTTTATAATGCTATACATTTTGAATTATAAATGTTTTGAAGATATTCTGAAAACAAAACACGCTATAAAGAACCCTCTTCAAAAATAATGACGCTACTTGTTAGTTGTTTTCACTTTGGATAACGATAGCCAAAGTTGGAAAAACTTAAAAACAAATTTTCCAGATGGGGTTTTCACGGGTTTTTCAGTTGTTACGTGGCCTTACGTGCGGAATTTTCGCGGTTTTAAGCTGGAGGAAACACGCGATAGCTTTTCCTAAGCAATATTCAGTTTCCTTTTTCCTTTTGTAACTTCGGCATATATTAGTTCCAACGCTTGATTATGTAAGTATGTACATGTGCATGTACAACTCCCCATTTTGCTTTCTAGTTTAATTGCATTTTACTCGCTTCTCATTTTGTCTCATATAATTTAATATGTCCTAATTTCCCACCTTAAAAGAGTGATTAAAATTGTAAAAATGATTGTGATACTAAATCTCTAGAGACGAATTAAGACGCAGGCAAAGACGAATTAAGATTATTAATTAAGAATTAATATATTATTTTAATTAAATTTAGATATTGACACCCTTATTTGCTTTCATATCTTAATAAATTTTATAAAACATATCTTTTACCATATAAGTGCTTATTTATTTTAATTTTAGTAATATAATAATGTTCAGATGTATTACTCTTTTGTTTTCAGTTATCTGGAGATATACAACGAAAGGGTGTCAGATTTGCTTCCAAAGGACGCCTCAGATCAAGATAGGACAAAGTCATTAAAGGTCAGAGAACATCCAAAAAAAGGACCTTATGTTGAAGGTTAGTTGCAAAGTACTTTCACAGAAAATAATAGGACTTTGTATGTAGGTATATGTTACGATGAAAGTCGGAAATTCAGTATATCAATAGGAAATTAATAACAATCGCTCGAAAATGCTAATAATTATTCACTGGATCAGTGAAGTGCTTTAAAGAAATTTGTCGATTTTTTTACTATAAGGTAGTATATGTATAAACCATCGCATTCTAAGTATGTTGAGTGAATTGAGAATTTTTTGAAGCTGATCTACTCAATCTTAAAATTACAAGAAACCGATAACAAAACAAAAACACCAAAATAAAAATATTTGCCTTTATACCTACTTAACCAAAGATTAAAGCCGGGACTCCATTAGCTAACACCCGACGCCACGCCACGCGATACCACGCTAAACCCACGTGTTGCGACGTGGGAATGGGTGACACATTTTGTAACACGTGTTAACACGCCTGAAATTTTTATTAGAGTTAACAAAGTTATCAGTAGGGTTACGAAAATACTAGAAGTATCGATACCCATACCGAAATTAGATTATAATTATAATACCAGTATAACCAATATATTCAGAATCGAATATCGATATTTAATAATAGATAAGATCAATTTTTCGTTGCCGACTTTTTCTGGATCTATCTTGTTATATCCGATGTTGAATCGATTCAAAATATCGATTTATTTTATTTTTGCAACATCCCTACATCAACTACAAAAGTAGATAGCTGCGGGACTAGAGAGGCAAGCGGGGAACAACACGCCGCGCCGTAACACACGTCGGTGAGATCTGGGAGAGACGAATCGGCCATCACACGTGTGATAGCGTGTTATGGCGTCGGATGGCGAGGCGTGTTGCCTAGTGTGTACGCAATACATGTAATTAAATGGAAAAACATACGCACACATCTTCATAACGTGGGGTAGAATGGCGTCGCGTGGCGTGGCGTGTTGGCTAATGAGGTCCTGGCATAACCGTCAAAAAGCATTAAATTAATATCTAGCCGGTAAAATTTTAAAAATTACAAGAAACCGATAACAAAATAAAAACACCAAAATAAAAATATTTGCCTTTATACTTAACCAAAGATTAAACTCAAAAAGCATCAAATGTCTAGCCGGTTCCGGGTAGCTGTCTATCAATCGACAAAAAGTGTTTTGATTACTTTGATTTCAACCTTTTTTCGTAATTCTGTAGTTTTTTTTTATTTCAATAAGAATTTGATTATTTTGAATGTATTGATTCTAAAATTGAATGAATTCTGAATTCAATTCGCGGCAATTCTGCACTTAGCTTATCGATAGTAAGTTACCAACAGCTGCTAGAAACTAGTAAAAACGCAAAGCGAATTTGAATGCTAGCATTCACTAGTAACAGTTTGTTTGGCTCGAATTTTCATATATCTGCAATGATTTAATATTTAAAAAAAACAACCTTAGAATATTAGTATTTGCACTCTATTTAGTATATTGTCTATTTAGTATATTTTTTGAGTATTTGCCCTCTATTTATATCATAGTTTCTTTCACATAAGCGACTTTGAAGGAAATTTGAGGCACTTCCCAATTAGGACGCCAATCTCCCAACTCCATCAATTCAATGCCCATTGGGGGGGGGGGGGTATGGTGGTAGCGCACCCCCCGCCAGCCCCTTATATATTAGCCTCTGAGCGTCTTATTTAAAACAAACATAACTTTGGGCAATATTTAGGTAATGGCAAATAATTGGATTCCACAGGGTGGTCCGAATTGTATTCCGGAAACTTCGGCGGCATATTCCGCAGATAAAAATAACTAAAAAAGTTCGTATAAATGTCTTAAAATGGTTAGTTTCGGATATACAGGGTGTAGAAGCTTTATTTTTATTTGGATTTTTTCAAAATAATTTCGGAAGTAACGTCAATATTTGGATGAAAATTGGGAGTTTTTTGACATGAGAAATGTCATATGGATGTCAAAATGGGATTTTGATATCCATATGATTCCTACTTGCAGAGGGCGCCACCTACATTTTTTTAACTGGTTTGAGGAGGAATAACTTTTCGTCCGTTCCTGTATAAAACTGCTGAGTAAAGAAATGTACACTTACGACGTTTTTTACGTAAAAAAGGTCTCTTGGGAAAAATCGCTATGAGTAATGGTTCTCGAGATATTTGGAATCGAAATTATCAATGCCTGTCATCATTGACATAAATTAAACATGTTGACTAAATAGTTATTAAACTGAAATCATAAATTTGAAATGTTTTTTGTCAAAAGTTCAACAGAAACTGTTTTATTATAATTTTTTAGAAGAAATTAGGATATTAATAATTAGGATTAATTTGAAAAAATAAAAAGTTTCCAAATTTATCATTTCAATCAAATAACTATCTATCAACATATGTTTATTTTTTTAATAATGACATGTATTTACTATTTCCATTCTAAATATCTTGAGAACGGTTGCTCGTAGCGATTTTTACAAAGAACGTTTTTTACGTAAAAACTCACGGAAATGTATATTTTTTCACTCAGTAGTTTTATACAGGTACGGACGAAAAGTTATTACTTTCCAAAACAGTTAAAACCTTTGAATAAGAAGACTAAGGAAGGAGCATATCAAAAATCTTAGGTACACCGCGATGCGCCTCAAATATGGCCGACTTAAATTCCGGTTTATCAGTGTCGTTCTAATTTTATTTAAAAAATGTAAAACTATGATGTAGGGTAGACGTGGGGTAGACTCAATAAGTCGTTGACAGCTAAACATAGACTCCCCACAACAGATAGTTATAATATGTTTATTAACATTAAACATTCGATGCGTTACTGCAGGTGTCACCAACGTCTACCTTGATCGTTGGATTAAGTATTAATAAAAGTTAAATGCAGAAACATATGAAGAGAATACATTGTGTTGTTCACCTCAGCTTACCGAGATCGTCGCCACAACTGACCAGAGCCTGATAACCGCATAGTACAGCATTGTCGTTGTTCTTCATTCATTTACGCCACCATCGCAGAATAGTCACAATACAGGTCGTTTGAAGACTGAATTGAGATACATTATGCTCCTTCCTTAGTCTTCTTATTCAAAGGTTAAAACCTTTGAATCTTCTTATTCAAAGGTTAAAACCTTTGAATAAGAAGACTAAGGAAGGAGCATAATGCTATCCATGTATTCATGCATGGTGGGCGGAAAAAGCGCCATAAAAGCTCTAGGTGGGGATCCTTTACAGTTCTGGTTTGACGATTCATTTACGGCGATTTGAATTTGATTTGAAATTTTGTGGATTTGTCAGTCTCTACGGAGCTTATTTTATGTTATTTATTATTTATTCTACTACTGATAGTTGTATAAAGGTAGTAAATCTAGATGGAAATTGTGGCAGCACTTAAATTAACAGTGACACTATCGCGATTTATCAAAAAAGACTCTAAAATAGTTGGTTGTGTAGCATGCGGTAGATCTCGGCAAAAATTGAGTGAAATAATGGAATAACTTTTCGCTAGTAAGTGACTATATAATATGCATACGTGTAGTAAACCGATCATTTATGAAATTCACTTAAATTAATTAAATTATATATTTTTCTTGCATTTTAGCTTTTATTTATTACTTGTCAAAGATTAGATGTCAAAGAATTTAGTTACGTTAATTTGACTTACCTGCTTCAGTAGCGTATCGGATGTTTGTTGTAATAAATAATTATTATAACTTATCTATTTTTATTAGAATTATATATTTTTATAACAATTTTAATAACTACCAACATTTATTCACAAAGTAAAATAAAACAACAAATTATTGAGTCTACCGTACGTCTACCCTACATCATAGTTTTACATTTTTTAAATAAAATTAGAACGACACTGATAAACCGGAATTTAAGTCGGCCATATTTGAGGCCCGTCGCGGTGTACCTAAGATTTTTTATATGCTCCTTCCTTAGTCTTCTTATTCAAAGGTTAAAACACATGTAGGTGGCGCCCTCTACAAATAGGAGTCATATTGACATCAAAATCAAATTTCTCAAGTCAAAAACTCCCAGACATCAAGTTTTGACGTTACTTCAGAAATTATTTGGAAAAAATCGAAATAAAAATGAAACTTCTACACCTTGTATCTCAGAAATTAAGCATTTTAGGACATACATTTATACGAACTTTTTTACTTATTTTTATCTGCAGAATATGCTGCCGAAGTTTCTAGAATACAGTTCGGAGCACCCTGTATATAAATAATACAGGGTGAGTCTTAAGTAAGTACAAATATTTTCAGGGCTGGTAGATCTCGATAAAAGAAACATATTTTCACTTTACCATTTTTCAAATGGGTCCAAAAAAAACGAGTTATTTAAGTTTGAAAATTTTGAGAGCCACCGGATTTTCTCTGTATTTCCATCCCTTTTAGTGCTGTAACTATGGTATCAGAGATTGAATTTATACCGTGGGAAAAATTGCGGTGAACAGGAAAATTTAAAAGAAAATGCACGATTTTCAACACCTGTTTTTGCGAAAAAAACCTCATGGACGTGTTCCTGGGGTCAAAATATACCACCCCTGAAAATATTTGCACTTATTTAAGACTCGCCCTGTATTGAAGCATGGTATGGACAATTTTAATTACGGGATCGAATGTGTTACGAAAAAGTCAATGTCCGCGAAAACCGCAATCTCTTATCTTCAGCAACAACAGAGACATCCGGCAAGAACACCAAAAATGGGAGAGCATATATGTACAGGGTGTCCCATTCTGGTTGAAATCGTACGGTATCTTCGTTATTCGTGAAGATAGAAGGGTGCGGTTTGCACAAACCTGTGCCACTTTTTTGTCAAACGAAAGATGCCGTCAACAAAATTTTCATAGCTCTCTTCATTTCTGAGCTACAGGTTCTTTTTGAAAATTTTGCAATTTGGGACACCCCCCGTATCTCTGTTATTGCGAAAGTAATCGAGAAGGTAAAAACTGTTTATTGTAGAACTTTTTACGTAGAATACAGTGGCGTAGTCTGTTATTGTACGAAAATAATATTTTTAAAGATATAAACTAAAGTTATGTTTTCTTAAATGAAACACCCTGTATATTTATAAATTATATGATCTGCTTTGCCATAAGCTTCTCAAAAATATATATCACTCTATATTTATTTTCACTATTTAGCGCAATATTTAAAAAAAAATATTAAAAGATCAAATTTATTAGTAGGCCATGATTGATAATAAAAGAAACTAAAGAATTATTAAAAGTATACTGCTATCTGTCTCTTGTTTTTTTTTTCCAGAGCCACTAATCAATTCTTTATATATTAGGGAAACTTAACTCTCTACCGCTGTTTGTAAATCTTGGAAGCTATCGTATCCGGACTTTTAAATATTCCTTTAGCTAATTTACGTGAAATATACTTTCAGCAAGATGGGGCTCCCCCTCACAAATTAACTTACAAAGAAAATATTATATTTTTGTCAAATTATTATTTCTCAAATCAATGAATTGGAACCAACGGATCCATATGATGACCTCTCTTATTCCCGGATTTGTCCGTTCTCGATTTCTGATTTTGGGGATTTTGGAAATATGAAATATATCCTGGCAACTAATACAATGTCGAACACCTGGAAAATGCTTTAATAATGCAAGCTTTTAAACATTTGCAAACCCATCCCGTTATAATAAATTTCGTTATAAAAAAAGAAAAATATATTCACAGATTCAGGGTAACAGTTCAAAAGTAAAATATATCAATTCCAAATAAAATTTTAATATTTTATAATATGACTATTTTAGTAAATACCATTTTGGGATTTTTTGTTATTTATCACGGCAGTGAAAATAAATATAGACTGATATATATTTTTGAGAAGCTCATAGCAAGGCATATGATTTATAAATATGCAGAGTGTTCTATTTGAAAAAAGATAACTCGAGTCCATATCTTCAAAAATATTTTTTTCGTAGAAAAACAGACTACGCCACTGTATTCTATGTAAAAAGTTCTACAAGAATCAGTTTTCACCTTCTCGATATCATCTATAATAACGGAGATACGGGGGCTGTCCCAAATTGCAAAATTTTCGAAAAACCCTGTAACTCAGAAACGACGAGGGTTATGAAAATTTTGTTGACAGCATCTTCCGTTTGACAAAAAAGTGGGAGAGGTTTGTGCAAACCGCATCCTACTATCTTTACTAATAACGGAGATACCGTATGATTTCAACTAAATTGGGACACCCTGTACAGTTCATAGAATTGAAAGTAAAATTACTACATTACATAGGTAATTAATAATTTAAAAAAAATTAAGTTGCTAGATATATTGTATGAGAAAAAAACGGCGACAATATGGTCGGTTGAAAATTTCGAGTAAAATAATTGACAATAATGTATTTAAATTCTAGCCCCCCCCCCTAATATAAAATAACGAAATATTGTTTAAAAATCGAAGCGAGTTTAAAACAACCACTACCGTAGTGAAGAGGGATATTACATGTTTCTACGTCTTTAAAAATAAGTCGAGACGAGACAAATTTAGGCGAGGAAATAGGAAGTAACCCTCCTCTCAGCCTTGGTCAATTGAGAAATATCATTCGCATTCCTTCCATGACGCATGCGATTTTAAGATCAGAGATAACTGGCCGTCTCTCTCGATGGTAACGCTTTTCTGCTCTCCCTAGGTCTAACAGAACACCCAGTATCTACAAGCGACGACATCCTCCAGCGTTTGGAGCAAGGAAGCTCAAGGCGCAAAGTAGGTTCCACAGCCACGAACCCGAGGTCCAGCAGGAGCCACTCGGTGTTTTCCGTGAGCTGCGAGGGGGTTAAGTTGCATCTGGTAGATTTGGCGGGCAACGAGAGGGCGGGAAGTAGAGGTTACGGCCCCAGCAGGTTCAGAGAGGGTGCAAACATCAACAAGAGTTTGGTAGCGTTGGGAAATGTTATATCGACCCTAGGTAAGTCCGATTATTGTGGAGTGTGAATATTTTGATATTTCATATGGATGATTTTCCCCTAGTGTTCTATTTTATGTTTCGTATTACTATTCTAATAGTACGGAAGCATTGTGTGTCCCGTGGGAAAGTTAATGAGGGGAAGGTACTAGTGGTACTAATCGATAGATAAGAACATGTAGTCCAATAATGTCGATGGTGACACTTTCACAAATGTTGCTTGTGGCTAAGATGACGCCATCCAAGATGGCTGTCGCTTCATTATGAACCAAGTGGCATATCTCGGTCCCTGCTCATTGTCGCACGATCTCAACGTGAAATAGACCTACGCACAACCTTAGGAAAGTATGAAATGTCAGCTGTGCCCAGATCCATGTTTGCATTAGACGGAATAATGCATCAGTGCGCAGCTAAAAGTAAATTAATTCAAATTTTGAAGTCTGTAGTGGAATTCACTGCCAAAGATTCTTTGTAATCTGCTCAAGTTCACCAATCAAATAACTGCGTTGCAATTGTAGACGCAATGGGAGAATTGCAGGCTCTTGATAAAACTAGCGCAGTGAAAACTTGTAAAGATCTTGCAGATTTGTTCGCCCAAAAGATCCAAAGGAAATACTGGTAATATGATAAACTTCATGTTATTTTCGACACGTACTTGGACGAATCAATAAAAAACCTTACTACGGTGTCGCAACACAGTACAAAATATGTGACACAACTGACATATCAAATATAAGTTTGAAAAAGTTGTCACATACTCGTGCCAAGGATGAATTAACCACCTATCTTGCACATACAATTCTTCAAGTCATGCCAAGATATTAGCAAAAAAATATGTTGTTTCATGGCGCACTGAAGTTTCTGCGACGCACTGCTCTTTGGATTGTTTAAAGAGTACTCAAGAAGAAGCCGACACAAAAATTGTACTTCATGCTATTAATGCGAAACTTAGAGGTACAGATACACTACTGGTATTTGCTAATGATACAGATATTTTAGTTTTGCTAGTGAGGCGCTATGCAAGGCTTCCCGAAAACACCTTTTTGTACCATCGTCAGGCGATGCAATATCAGTTAAAAACATATATATTTTACTCGGACCACTAAAATCTTCAGAACTGCCCGGGTTCCATGCAATATCTGGTTGTGACACCAACTGAAATTTGTTTGGAAAAGGAAAGTTGTCATACTGGAAGGCATTTGTTTGAGCGAATGAAGAAGAACTTACTGCCTTGCAGAAACTTGGTATCAGTGATTTAGTACCTGATGATGTTTTGCATCAGCTAGAAATATTTATTAGTCGAGTTTATAAAGCAAGCACTCTAACAAAATCATTTGCAGAATTACGATGGTCAATGTTTACAGCCAAACAAGCCCTTGGAGATAAGTTACCCCCCACTAGAAGTTATAATATATATACATGAAATATTATTTTTTCGCAATACTTTCAAGAATTAATTGTTTTTCTCTTTACTTTATCTTTCTAACAAGCCAAAAAAAAATGAAATCGGTTAAATAGCGGCGACGATAGCGCACATTGTCTATATTGCTAGGCGGCCATTTTGTTTAACGCACTCCAAACAAACGCAACATCTGTGACGGTGTCACCATAAAAATTAATGGAATACATAATTTTTCTGATAAAACAACTCCACTGGCACCTTCCCTTCATGAAGTTTCCCACGGGAAGCTGTTTTTATACGTTGTTATCCCCAACTATAAAGTCTGTGTCTAGATATCAATCACCACAAATATCACTATCTTCTTGGGATACAGTGTTCACTGGGATATACAATAATGAGCATATAATGTGGTAAAGCCAGGTTTGGTCTATTTAAACTGATGATGGTTGCAAAAAGCTGATAGAGTGACTAAAGCGGCCCTCACACGATCAATAATATTGTCAATATTTTGGATTATTGACAATATTATTGAGTGTTTGAGCGTAGATATTGATGTACTTTCAATATATTGATGGATTTTCGGGTCTCTGAAAATACTCGTCAATATTAAAGGCGGAGCTAGTCGTATTGACAATATTGATCGTTAGGTCGCATGATTGACAAAATTTGACTAGTTTATTCGTAACCATGGCGGAAGACGGAACATCGCCGTCGTTGTTTTCACCAGTTTTAGATCGCAATTATCAGGCTACCGTTTCTTATAACGTATTCTAGAAGATTTAGTTGACCGAACCCCTTTTTCTTTTTGGATATCCATTTTTTATATAACGTCTTTTCTTAAATTTTTTCCTCTATGTTTTCCATATTTTTTCTCACTGACTGACACTCACTGCCAAAATGACACGCTTTTTTATCTTTAATTTTTTGGCATAGGGTATAATTCACACTTAATATCTGCACAAAACTTAATATTGATATATGTATTGACCGTATCAGGCCAACTTTCAAATATTGATAAAATATTGACAATAAAAAACATTGACAATATTATTGATCGTGTGAGGGCCGCTTAAGACAATCCATCAACTTTTTTGTTACTACGGCATCAAACGGTTATAGCAAGTTATAGTCTCTATGGTTATAGTGCATAATTTGATCCAGTTTAACCAAATATATTTAAACTCGAGTTTATATATCTTTGAGTTTAACCTTAAGTTTAACGCAAAGACGCCACATAGGGATAGGTATTTGGTAATTTGCGTATAAAATCCGGTCAAAATTATTTCATGTTTCTTGAATAAAAACAGAATTTGCGTAATAATTATGATTTAATATAAAGTTAAATGCAAAATAACTAAAAATTATAATTCTTTACATATTACAGTTGCAGTTACTATACCTTCCATATTAGCTCCCTTCTGTTTCCCTTCCGTTTACATAAAATATATACTTGTATTCATTTAAAACTTCCCAATATGGCGGACTTCAGTATGGGAGGCTTAAAAAACGAAAATCTCTAGACTGGAATCGACTGTAGTTCAAATTGATAATCTGTGGTAAATCCAATTGAACTCTGACACTTGGCTGACGTTGACGTTTACGGTTCCTTTTTCTAAATATTTTCATTATTTTTTTAGTTTTTATTCAGAAATTCTACTTGATTCTGTTCTTTTATTTAACCTGCAGCCTGCAGTACTAATTATATTGTTATAAATAATCTTTTCACCGATCAAGAACGGAGGAATAGGCTGGAAGATATTCAAAATGTGTAAAACGCTTAAAAACGTATTAGAAAACATTGACTCGTCCACAAATTCGTGAAAATAAATTAGTCCAGATGTTTGTAAAAAGGTCCCTAATTATTTTGAGAAGTTTCCTCGTATCAGTAATTTTCAGGTTTGTAATATGTATATGATAATAAATTGATTAAAACTTTTATTTCAATTTCAGGAAACAGCGCGGGCCTTACAGATTGTTGTAAATCAATTTTAAACAGGTTTAAAAGTTGAGTTAGTAGAAAAGACATAAATAAGGTAATGTTGGTAATGGGACCAAAGATCAAATAACACTTGAAATATATAATATGTACAATAATTTTAAGTAGTTTTTATAAATCTGTTTGATATTTATTGCATTATTTTTATATTTCTTGAAATATATATTTTTTTACTTTACAGGATACACAAAGAATAATAAAAAATACAGTTACTCACTAAAAGCACTTAAGGTTTGTAACAGATGTAATTAGAATATCAAACACCAAACCAAATCAAAATTATGTTTTATTTTACTGGCATTCCTCACATTTGAAAGGAACGTCATTTCATAAATAAGCAGAAGGACATTGTATAGTACACTCTATATTAATAATTCTTTTTTATCCTATACTTGTTAGTTCACACATTACTTACTAGGTATAAAATTTAGTACTGATTCCAAACCTATAGTTGTGGTTGTGACATATTCTGATGTGTTTCTGGCAATTTAAAATAAGTTAATATTTAAACAAACATTTCTGGCATTCCTGACAGGAGTGTGAACACAAATTTAATAAAGGTATAATGTGGATAATGTTCTGATTATTACAGTTTGCATGGATGTTTTTGTATGTTGTTATTTTTAATAAAGTATATTTAATGAGTTTTTGTGTATTTCTTTTTCCCTCAGATGATTGTGTTCTAATCTTTATATATAAATTTTCATAAATTATATCTACAAAATTTATTACCTTATAACTTTTTGCTAAAGACTTTGTAGTTGATACAGTTTAACAGTATATAAAAGAACTATTTAAATAAGATGTTTGAAAATATATAGCTGTTTTTGCACACATCAATTCAATTTGTGATTAACTGTACTGAAACAAAAACAAATTAAGAGAAATGAGATGATCTATAAACTATAACATGACATGCATCATCCTATTTCCAAGTCTTCTATTAATTTCACTTATTACACAACTATAATTATTCAATAATTTTGATAATTCTAGGAACTCTCAGATATCGTCAAAACATGAAAATAAAAATTCACTTCCTATAGTTCTTACGTCCGTTTAACTGAAATATAAGAAACAGGGGAGTTAATATTCTCACTGAGAAAGTTTATTCTTATTAAATAATTTCAATAACATGATATTATTTATGACAACCACCTAATAACCTAACTTTAGCGTCAACTTGACAATTCTGAAAAATGTTATTGTTAACCAAAGACAAATCAATTTCTGAATTCGCTAGCGCCAACTTATTTTTCATTAAAAAAAAATTACCAATTTTCGTAACTAGGTCGGCCATATTGAGGAACTTTTAAAAGAATTGTACTATATTATATCATGTAAATGAATAGGACAATGCACACTATCTGTTCCGTTTCCCTTCCGTTCCATATCCTTTCCTTCCATAAATTTTTTGGCGGACGGACTGAAGCGTATCGGAAACACCGTTGTCAAGTTCTTACATTTGTACCAGCTCTGTTAAAATTTTGCTGATATTTATTTATTCTTTCGCCTTTAATTAAATCTATTACCTTTTTCAAAAGATACAAATTTTTAAAATAAAACTTTCGTAATGATATACATTCTACAATAAAAAGTATGGAA